ATTGAGGGCTGGAGCCAGGGGCTGGAGCTTCGTGGGACACTAGGAGATGCTGGTGCTCCCTGCGACTGTGCGGCCCTGGCTCTGCCCCTCATCTCCCCCAGCAGAGGCAGCAGTCAGTGTCATCTTTGTCTCCTCCCAGATGGACCTGGGTGACTACGGCCACCTTCGTTGGCCTTACCGAGAGAAGGTGGCTTTGTGCCTGGTCTTCTGGGACCTCTGTATGAGTGTTTTGGGGGATTTCCACAGGTTGGGGAAGCCACGAACAGCGCGACCACCCTGCAGGGGCTGTTTCCTCGAGGAAGGGGTTGATTTTTTTTTCACTGGCGGTGGAGATTGTGCTGGGTGCTTCGGTCTAAGTGGCACAGACTTGGAGTTCGGGCTGTGATTTTGGTGCGCTCCTGGGTTTTGAATCTCACTCACCGCTATGTGCGTGGGGGTCTCTTCTGTGACACAGCTCTCAAGTGGGGGATAAGTTGCTCTTTCCCTTCATATAAAATCTGAAACTGAAGAAGGAAGGTAAAGAAACAAAAAGATCTTTTTCTCTGTTAGTAAAAAAGACACAGAAAAAAAAAAGGAAAGAAAGAAGATGCCTTTCTGGGGAATGCCGGTGAAGTTGCAAAATGGAAACACCTGTATTTAGTTGGAATATTTAGAAAAGACATCAATGTTCAGCCTCCCTGGTGTTTGTGCCGGGAAGGTAGTGCCGGAATCACTCTTTTCGGGCGAAGCCAGAAGGCGTCGTTCCCAGGATTACCTCTAGGAGGAAACCTCAACCTGTGTTGTGTCTGCAGGAGCTGGGTTTCCCATTTTATCTATTCAACTTTTATATTGTATCTAAGTTAGTACTTTTGATATTTCTAAGTTTTTTTTTTTAACATTTATGTAGAACACCACATAATTGCAGAAAAGATAATAGTCACATACCCTAGGGCTTGGTGTACACTTATGTTAAAAGTACAGCTTTTATTGGCAACTAAAGTAATAACCTTTCCATGTCAAATTGCTTTAAATTAAACTTAAAAAAAAAATACTGGCTGATACCCACACTTAGTAATTGTCAAACATTAGCATAATGTGGAATACTAAAGCTGCCTAAATCTTGGGTTTAAAAATAATTATTTACTTAGGTAAATTCTCTATTCAAAAGCATAATATTAGATTTTTTTTTTTAAATACAGTCTCTTCGATGTGTTTATGTTAAGATACAGACTTAAGGTTGACGTGGAAGTGGGACTGAATTTTATTGTAGTCACTGAGGACAAAAGTGGACTTTATACCTTTAGCTCATCCATCTATTGTTGGTCACACTGGACAAAACACGTTATGCTGACCCGACACCACCGAAGGAGCGGGTGCTGCAGGTGACGTCTGGTGACCCACAGCTGGTGACTTAGTGTACCTGTCTGATGACAGCCTGCGCCCTGGCCCTGAAGTGCACATGCACATTTCTCTTACTGGAGGACATCTAGGGGATGAGTGCCTTGAGCATGTGTGCACATGCAAAGCCAAAGGGTAGCAGATCAGTGAGGCGTTTCATACACGTATGTTTTCCTTATCTCTTTCAGCCCATAACTGGAGCAAACGCAGTGGGGATCATTCAAATTCGCTGTGCAGAGCAGGAGAGGAAACTGTCCATCATGAGATGTGGCTCTTGGGGCACTCTGCTGCATATCGAGGAAACCGGACCTTTCATGTCCCATGAGGGACAGATCCTCCTAGATTTCTGCTTTCTGGGAGGCCCAGACCCCAAAATGCCTAGCTAAGGGTGTCTGCCTGCCTGCCAAGGCTTCCCTGTGCAGACCCCTTTGCTCCCCTCTTCAGCACATTGCCTCTTTGGTGCTACGACTCCTCCAGTTCTTCATAAGAAACATGCCAACATTTGGCTGGAAGTTCATAAAGCCCCTTTCTGAACATTTCTTAAAGAAATCAGCAATTCTGCTAGGGAAGAAAGGTTTTGTGACAAATTCTTGATCACCTTTGGCTAGCAAGGTAGAAAGGGATGACCTTTAGCAAGCGACAAGATCTGGAAGGGTCTTGCCACCTTTCCAGCTAGCAAATTGAGAAACAGAAGGGAGAGTTAGCACCTGGGAACAGCAAGTTTTTGATCTTCGAGAGAGAGAAAGTTAAACAGTTGTAGGGAGGGAAAATGCAAAGAGCTGAGGACTGAAAATGGGATACCTTTCTCAGCCTTGCTTAATACCATATGGGTTTAACACTGTGAGTATAAATCTGATTATGTATTAATTCCCACACTATTTTAACTTTTTAAAGCAATTCCTTCCTAGAGAAACACAATGCAGAGTCTTACAGCATATGCATTTTCACCAGAACGAGTTGAAATTCTTCAAAACTCTCAAATCACAGCAAATATTACCACTAGATCTTACTCTAGAGCCCTTCCTTTCTCTCTCTGCCCCAGCTGACCTACTGCTTGCTGCTACCTCCTGCTCCTGCTCCTGGTGTGGCGCCATGGCACAAAGACAAACAGCGAGGGGCAGGGAGGGATCCAGCCGAGCTTAGTGATGGTGCACAGGGACTAGCCAGAAATCTCTCTCAATATTGAGGCCCAAATTTAGCCTTCATTTACTTGCTACACCAGTGACATTCAAATGAGGACCACATGGGGCTCCCAGTCACGTGCTCAGTTGCAGCCCATGAAGTCTGTGATATCACGAATTTATTGGGGCAACGTGGTGGTAGAAAGACAGGAAGACTCTGGATCACGGGTGAGTATGAGTAATTT